CTTCCTCTCTCAGCAGGGGACTGCTGAATCCACAAAGGAATACCTTACACCACTCTAATAACTTTCAGTATACCACCAGTGAGCTTCTGAAGTTTTCCATATTTTTAAGAAGAGAAAAGTACCCATATTTCATGGCTCTGAAGGTATGTAAACTGGAAAAGAACAAAGGTCACAACACCTGGTAAAATCCATTAGTCAGCAGATGCCAGGTGCACATCTTGGTTATTAACAAAAAGCATGCATTTTTGCTGACTATTTTTTTATTAGATTCATGCTAGCTAACATTATTTCTGACGCTAATCCAAGATCTTCAAAATCAGGTATTTGTTAGCAGATAAGATATTAAGTTTATATCTTGGATTCTAAAAGACAGCAGCTCCCCCTCCCCCCCCCCCCCCCAACATTTCCAGCTAGTCGTCTAAGAACTATACCTTCTTCCGTAATTTTGAGTCTTTGTTCTTCATCTGGAGGTTTGGGTGGGGGCCACACAGATGGAATTCTCCTTGGAAAGCTTCCTTCAATGTAATCTGATGAATGTGTGGGTTGGCTAACTGCAGCCCAAGTATAAAGCTGGTCTTGCTGTAGTTATTTAAAAAAAAAAAAAAGTTGAGAAGTTCATATAGAAAGACAAACTCAAAGTATCAAAGCCTTTGTTTCCAACACAAATAGCTCGATATCCACCTCGATAGCAAGGCAGACTTGTTTTTATGCTCTTCATCTCCTGACAAAGACTTAACATAAATCTATATTAAAAGAATTTAATGTTTCAGTTTTGGAATTACCTCTATTAACAATAGAAATCTAATCTTTTAGTTATCTACAGCACAATGAGATGCTAGAACACAGTTCAGCACCTTTTTTGAGCATAAGGAACTCTATGACACTTCTTTCCTTAGAGAGATAACAGGTTCTGTCCATCATGACCGTACTTCTTTACGTATGGTTAGTTTATAGGTTAGAGAAAAATATTTCAGTCCACACTATATAATCTTTTTACACCAAATGCACAAGCAAGGAAAAGAAGCAGGATTATTTCAGCATAAATTCATCTGAGATATTTGTTCTTTGCAACCCTGTTTTTGTCATTTACATTTCCATATTCATAGAAAGGCAGCTAAAAAGGTGGGTTTGCTTTTAGAATAAAATCAAAAAAAAACCCAACAGCTAAAAGTATTCTCAATCGTCTGGGCTCAAATCAGATTATATCCTTATTACTCAATAGCTTTGAGTTTGATTCACTTATTAAAAGTAGGAGACATCCAGACTGTCTGATGAAAACTAGGGCAAACTTATGCTTTAAGCCAACAGAAAGATTTTAGCTGACCACAATTCAAGTAGTTATTCTTGTGACTCCCAGTATGCATCAACATGCACACCTTGTGATTAATTCTTTATAATGCTGTAAACTCTATAGAGATCAATCACAGCAATTGCATGACTATCCTAGTAAGTGATCTGGAAATATGCAAATATTGTAGTACAAAACTGGAAAAAAAAAAAATCAAGTCACAGGATGAAAATACAGTCATATCACACAGTAATATCTTCTTACAAAGATCATGTTCATTACACTTCATTCGTGCTATTGCCTGAGTAAAACACTGGTAATATATATTTGTCCTGCTGCATAGTTCATTTTTAGATTAACACTTTTTTTTTTTTTTTTTAATTTTACACAGATACTAAACATTGAAGAGACATGCAGGGGGAAGAACAAAATAATTTAAGACTTTTGGGGGGATAATCGCTATTCCATATGACTAAGCTTCTACTTGCCTAAAAATAAGTTGTGATAGGAATGATAATATTCTATTGAGAGCAACTTACTTAGAACAGAAAAATGCTGGTTATAAAGTACAAAGTTTTGGTTTACAGAGGGTGCCTCAAACAGTCAGGGTCAAAGGAATCTCATTAGAACTTTCCAGCATGAAAAACATGGCAAAAATCCAGCCACATACACAGACCTTAGATAAAGGTAAAAATAAACAGATAAAAAGCTTAATACAAAATCACATCAGGTTCTTTACATAGCCCTGTACTTTATGTTCCTCGAAAAGCTTATCCTTTTCCCATTACTGTGCTACTGCATTTGAACATCCAAACAGGCTTGATTAATGCAGTTCTTTCAGTAACTTAGTACTTTCCCTTTGTCCAATTCCAGCTTTATAGTGGATATGTATTTTTGGGTTTCTGCCTAATTTCCAGTACTGTACATATTGTGTAAAGAAAAAGAAAAAGTGCTGCATATTGCTATTTGTCTTGTCTCTGCACCATCCAAATCTCAAAAACACAGAGGAAAATAAGATTCAGAAAAGTCATCGAGGCAAACCAGAACAAAATTCTTTTGCCCACTCTACTTCCTTACACAGTCCAGGGAACACAGGGAAGAAGCAGCTCTACAGAGGGTTAGCTGGGTAAGCACAGTCAACTTTCAACAGCATTACATGTAGGGTTATAGGGCAATAAAACCGAAGACAACAAACTGTAGATAATATTGACACAGCATGAATGAGGAAGAAAAACAGTTAAACTGTTCCTGGACATGATATTTCACCATGTCAGTTCTTGAAAGATATAGTACTATCATTTAACAACAAATTTTTGAAGTATGATTAGTCTACATGAATTAAGATGTATTAAAAAAATCATGGTATGTCTCAGAATTATTGTACAGATGAGATACATTATGAGGTAATAAAATATGAAGTACCTATGTTCTTGCTGTTAGAATTTACAGCATATAAACCATGAACAGTTATAAATTAAGACATCACACATCTCCATGACCGACTCCTAACCCAGCATGGGAGATTTGTTTGTGAGTATAAGAGACAGTATTTTTTGCTTTTGTTGTTTTTTGTTTTGGGATTCTTTTCATTCACTATTCAACATAGAGAAGGATGATGGAATAGACTCATCATGTAATAGAAATTTAGAGGCAAACGGAAACTTGCAAAAATGCCTTGAAGGGACTTGCACTACAACCAAATATAAACAAGGTATTTAACAACAGCTACATTCAGATTACTTGCAAACTTCATAATTTAAAATATGAAACCCTCTCATGACAGAAAGGTAGTCTGAGGGTCTGGACTTCAAGTTGATAGTCCATAAACTACACCTAAAATGGGAAAAGATTAACCCTGTCTCCACTTTCATGCCCTTCAAAAGAGATGAATCATTTGAATGTCCTAATTCCTACTCACTCAAGATACTGTCCAAAATCTAGTCCTTTTTACCTTTTGTCTTTAGCTCCTTGTCAGTTCATATACCAACCCACCTCATTTCTCCTTGTCCAATTCTAATAATGCCATAAGTTTGCATGATTATTAGCACATTTTGAAGAAAGATATATGCAGCCAATTCTATGATGTTGAAGTACTATTCAAGCAAAAGAAAAAAAAAATCCAAATAAAAATATCCAGATTTGCTTTTACCATTAATAATTGTAATACAAGCATCCACAAACCTGGATTTCCACATCCAACTTTTTCTCCTTTAATCTTTTAATTTCAGAGGCAATTTTTACTAGATATCACTGTAAGTACAGTCAGTGAATACTCTTACCGTGATCAAGCTTTGTATATGTCTGGAATTTCCACTTCATCTTGCTCCGACTCCACTATTTAGTGTTTAAAGCACCTCTTTTTTTGGAGGGGGGGGAAAAATCCTCATAATGAATGATCCCAGTCTTATTTATTTGGACTCATTTCTGCGCAGGCATTGAAAACTGAAAGCTGTCTGAGTCCAGTGCACTAAACATGATGTCAAGAAGACGACTTCTTTCCACACATCCTTACACAGCACTTTCCACTGGTTCTTAAAACTGCAGAGCATTCGCGTGTGGGTGAGGCAAACTGCCTGCAGGATCTGATGGTATCTAATCAATAGACATTCTACCACTTATAGATGCTAGCATTTAGAACAGAGTCACAGAGAGTCAGGTCTGTAGTTTAACTCACTCTATTCCCAGCCAGCTCTCAGTAGGCACAAAGAATGTTTTTTTGTAACAAATCTTCATTCTCAGGTACCACAGTGTTACATTTCAGGTACATAATATATTAAATATTAATTATGTTCTGTCACTGCTTGAGCTAAAGATATGCTTTCCAGCTCATCTTTGAAGATGGAAGCCAATGCTGTAAGCTAGTCAAAGTAAGGGCCTCTAGCAAATGACATATAGAAAGAGGCTGGTGGACCCAGAACTAGGGCCATGAGCTAGACCTGCAGCCAACATCAGAAGGCATACTGGTGGACCTTGAGCCTTCAGAAAAGGGGTCACATTTTTCACACAGAGACCAGGTTTGTTCCCCAAGCCACAGACTGAATTAGAGATTAGTATATCCCCCACTGTAGGAATATAATGCGCAACCTTGAACATATGCTTTTGGCAGCTGTATTGCTCCTGGAGATATGCAGGTAATACGACCTTCTGTTCAACGCCACTTCAGTTTTTAATCAACTGTTTATCTGCTTCCAGTTCAAAGGACAAAGATAGCCATTGTGAGAAATGCTTAAAAGAGGTACAAGAGATGGAGTTGAAAGAGAAATAAATGTATACAAATCTGTCCAAACTGGTTACAAAAGCAGGAATTAGCAATGTAAGAATTAAAGGGGGGGTGGGGACGGAATCTGACCAGAAGTATTTTGCCAATTCTCAAAAAACCCAAACAAACATGCAGTCAGATCATGTGTGCCAAGATGGGAAAGGTAGGGCAGTACAGAAGCACACTGCTATCAGGGGTAGCCTCTGCTCTTCAGCTCAGCATAACAGTAGGTGGGGGAAGCACATTAGCAGTACCTCTAAACTTTCTTACACTAGAGTGAATTGGTACTAACTTCCCTGATGGCTCCTGTGTTAAGCCATGATGGAACCAGGCCCTATTTTGCAGGACATTTATTTTCAAATAGTAAACATGAACAATTTTTCACTAGAATCCCAAACATTCAAAGTTATCCTGAAGAGGGGAGAACAGAAGGGTTGGCATGTCTGCATGTGTAGTTACAAGAAGGTTCCTACTCCTCAAATCAGTCTGGATGTGGACAGCCTTCCAGTGAGAAGAGCTGGAGGAGCAGGGAGAGGAAAAAGTATAACTGCATTTAAGATGAAACTAGATAAACTCATAGAGGAATTACATTTTATGGTACTTGGGATAAGCAGGGGCCAGACTCCATGACTCAGAAGGTGTTTTCCAGGCTAAGAGCTCCAAACAGCTTGTTCCACATTTGTATATAACTGCTTGTCATTTAGACTATTTCAAGTGCATGGAAGGATTTCTTTTTTTTCCTATCAGGAAGTTTAATCATTCTAATATACTAAGTATACAACCTCTAAAATGAAAGAAAGCCAATTGCATGTTCCCACTGCATATAAATAGTTAATTGGACAAGCAAGGTTTTAGTTTGAGAAATTAGAGCCGGACTACCTCAAAATGCTCTTATCAGCAGGAGACTGCTTTATTTTAAGCAGCTTTTAAAATAAAGAAATCAATACTATCAAGAATGGAGAAAGTGGTTTACTTTTTGTGGAAAGGTTCAGTAACAAAACTCTGTCTGACCACTGACAGAACCAGAGCAGT